CAGACTTAATATTCTTCTTTTCTGACAGATTCACTGTTTCTGATCATTGTTCTATCAGCTCTTTGGTTGTTTGGTTAAACTTTTCTAATGCAGGCCAAGAATCTTAAAAAATAATCAAAACTTTAAAAAAATATAATATTAATTTAGTTTTCCTCAAAGACATGAATGAAATGCTGAGATTTATTCCAACTGTGTACATTGTTTAAGGTTTCTCACTCCTCCTAAAACCAGGGCATTGCAACCCTCGGTGAAGCTTTTGGCGAGCCCCTAGTTGAATGTAAGCTGGCAGCAGATTAATGAGCAGTGGGTGTGATGATGAAAGTGTGTGTGTTTGCAGATGTGTCAAAGAAGCTGGGCGGTCTGATGGATGCTCCTGGGCAGCTGTTTGCCAAGGTGAGAACAACAACAACATCACCTGCAGTGCAACAGCGTTTTCTTCCTTTTAGACTAGTTTACCATCTAAATTTAAACTTCTATTTAATCGGCACACTGGCACAAACAGACTTTTCCCCTTATGCTTACATTGTTAAAGAAGCAGCTGTAAAATAGTGGATACCGGGGTTTTTAAGCATCACAAAATGACTCGTTTGACTATCAGAATTTGATCCATTCGGTCCGATAACATTTAGAAAGTCTGAGCTGGCAAACCAGAAGTTAGCGCTGGCTCTATAGGCCGCTGCAGCATCCTGAGGAGAGCTCTGACCAGCGTTTGCTCTGTACCTGTGCAGGTGAAGGAGGTGGATCAGAGCGGCCCCTGGTTTGAAGATGGGATGAAGCTGGAAGCCATCGACCCTCTGAACCTGTCTGCCATCTGCGTGGCCACAGTCAGGAAGGTGAGGACCGTCTGAGGGCCGACACTGAGCGAACCGGGTACGGTTGATAAACCGCCTGTCGTCTCTCTCCATCAGGTCCTGGCAGACGGGTACCTGATGATCGGTATCGACGGCTCGGAGGCGGCCGACGGTTCAGACTGGTTCTGTTATCACTCCACCTCTCCCTCCATCTTCCCCTCTGGCTTCTGTGAGATCAACAGCATCGAGCTGACCCCCCCCAGAGGTAGTACGTCCACGGAGAAAAGACAACTGAAGTCTTCAGGACGTCACCGTCTGCAACAAAGTCCACAATTCAACAAACAGAATTGTTGTAAATTTACAAGAAAAATCTCACAAAGTTACGAGAAAAAACAACCATATTGTCAGAGATTAGAAAGAAATTTGCAAGAAGTAAAATATTACAAATTCTCTGAGTTTCACCAGTTTATGTGAAAACCACATTGGATCAACCTCATCAAACCACAGCTGCTGCTTCTTTGATTTAGCAACAAGGAAAAACTTGTGATCTTAGCCAAGAATCAACATATCATTATAAGCATCCCAGTGTTGAATATGAACCCTCTCCTGCGTTTTCTCTGTGATTTTAAACCTACAATACAACCAAATACGCCGTTTTTATTTTGGATATTTTCAAACCATTTCTCTCCAATCTTCAATGAAAGCTACATTTTAACAAACCCACAGATGTTTTATAATAAATGAGTAAAGTTATTTAAGTGAATCTAATATATCTTCTCTGTGTTTGTGTGTGTCAGGTTACACCAACCTTCCCTTCAGATGGTTTGAGTATCTGAAGGAGACCAAGTCTGTGGCTGCTCCCGTCAACCTCTTCAACAAGGTCAGACCAAACACTGATAAGATTGCTTAACAGAGACAGTTTAATGAGTTTGATTCTGTTTCTCCACTTTAATGAGTTACATTGATCTGAAGGTAAAATGAGTGTTGTGTCTCTGGAGGGTCTGGTGGAGACGTGATAGTGATATTTACGGCTGTTTTGTGGTTAAACTAAAGGTCTATCTCTGTAGGTTTCATAATGCTGTCAGACACTGACAATAACAACCTGAGCACATCACCACATCTTTTAGTGGACATACTTTGAGTGGATTTGTCCAAAGGGATTACTTTGCCGCCATAGAAGTCCGTTTGGCAAATAAGTTCTGATTTAATTAAGGATTTATTTTGACCAAACCAGCGTTAGATTGTTGGAAAGACTAACAAAGATTTTGTTTCTGTCCAGTCTGAAGTGT